TAAAACAAGAAAAATGAGTCAAAATTTAGCAAGTTTTCCCTTAAAACAAGATAAAAATGAGTCAAAATTAAGCAAGTTCTCCCTTAAAACAAGAAATAAGGTCAAAATTATTTGAGTTTTCCCTGAAACAAGAAATAATGACTCAAAATTAAATGAGTTTTCCCTTAAAACAAGATAAAAATGAGTCAAAATTTAGCAAGTTCTCCCTTAAAACAAGAAAAATGAGTCAAAATTAAGCAAGTTCTCCCTTAAAACAAGAAAAATGAGTCAAAATTAAGCAAGTTCTCCCTTAAAACAAGATAAAAATGAGTCAAAATTAAGCAAGTTTTCCCTTAAAACAAGAAATAAGGTCAAAATTAAGTGAGTTTTTCCTTAAAACAAGAAATAATGACTCAAAATTAAATGAGTTTTCCCTTAAAACAAGAAATGAGTCAAAATTAAGTGAGTTCTCCCTTAAAACTAGAAATAATGAGTCAAAATTAAGCAAGTTTTGTCTTAAAACAAGAAATAATAAGTAAAAATTAAGGGACTTTTGCCTTAAAACAAGCTAAATAATCTGCCAGTGCAGTATAAAAAATAAAATAGTTTTTGGTTTGGAATAGGATTCATTTACTTACACAATTGGCAGATAGTTTTGCCTGTTATAAGAACAAACTCACCTAAGTGTAACTTATTATTTCTGAAAAAAAAAATTGTCTAGAAATTGCTTCTTGATTTAAGAATTTTTAGATATTTAAACTAGAAACTAGATCAAAACTCTAAGAAAAAGCATTTAAGGTGTAAATTGTTGCGTATGATAAATGCGATCAGATTTAGCATGATCTTTAGCGCCGTGCCTTTTCTTCAGAACTAGCTTAATGTGTTCATTCTCATATATATTTGAATGTGAACTACTCTTCATTTGTAAGCCTACATGATTAATATTGTAATTTTACTCCATGGTGCCATCCTCGAATAAGTCATTTTGATGCAATGATGATTTTGATACTCTTCTGTGGTTTTGCTGCCACCAGTCCATATATATTTTTAAAATATGTTAAAGGGCACAAGTTTTGCTTAATAATAAAAGTGCCCTTGCTGTCTGAAATGAGCACACAACCCTTAGGGCTCCTCAGTTTCATAGTAGAGCAATATAAAACTTGATCCGACTAAATAAGCACTATCCGACTAAATCATATTCATACTCCTAGCGAGCTTTTCATTGTTACTTTAGCTTGAAACGTGATTGTGAGCAAAGCAAAAACAAAACAAAACACACTTTTAGAGTGAATGAAAGGGCTGAAAGGACGCATGATAATAAAAGAAGAGCCACTTTTTTTTTAACCACTTCATTTGGCCCGGTTGATGATTACAAGCAAATTGACGTGAGAAATGTTTGTGCTTTAAATTTAATACAAACGTGTGTCTTTAATAGAAGTGTCCTCACACACTGTCTTGCCAAGGAGTTCCTGATAGCACACGTACATCACAGAGACGTCTATTTGTTGTGTATTTACATCTGGAAGACGTATTTATTACATTTGCATTATGTCTACTGGATGTCTAATTTTGGATGTTAAATAGATGTGAAGAAAATGTCTGTAAAGATGTTTATGACTGGGAAGGTTTGTTAAATAGACCTTTCAATGACATCTGGAAGACTTATTCATTACATCTGCATTACATCAATTGGATGTCTAATTTTAGATGTTAAATAGATGTGTATGTCTTTAAGATGTTTATGATCAGGAGTGTTTATTAAACACACCTATTAATAACAGTCATCAGATCTTTGTATGCACATCACAGAGATGTCCTTGTTGTGTGTGTTTACATCTGGAAGACGTACCTATTACATCTGCATTAAGTCTATTGGATATCTAATTTTAGATGTTAAATAGATGTGTATGTCTTTAAGATGTTCATGATTAGGATTGTTTGTCAAACAGACCTTATAATGACATTCATCAGATGTTTGTATGCACATCACAGAGATGTCTATTGTGTTTACATCTGGAAGACGTACCTAGTACATCTGCATTACGTCTATTGGATGTCTAATTTTAGATGTTAAATTGATGTGTTTGTCTTTAAGTTGTTCTTGATTAGAAATGTGTGTAAACAGACCTTATAATGACATTTATCAGATCTTTGTATGTACATCACAGAGACGTCTCTGTTGTGTGTGTTTACATCTGGAAGACGTATTAATTATATCTGCATTAAGTCTATTGGATGTCTAATTTTAGACGTTAGATGTGTAGGAAATATCTTTAAGATGTGTATGAATGGGAATGTTTATTTAATAGGCATTTTAATTACATTTGTCAGATCTTTGTACACAGCACATCTTTGTACGTATATCACAGAGACGTCTCTTTGTTGTGTATTTACATCTGGAAGACGTATGTATTACATCTGCATTACGTCTACTGGATGTCTAATTTTGGATGTTAAATAGATGTGTAGAAAATGTCTGTAAGATGTTTATGACAGGGAACGTTTGTTAAATAGACCTTTCAGTGACATCTGGAAGACTTATTTGTTACATCTGCATTACGTCTATTGGATGTCTAATTTTAGATGTTAAATAGATGTGTATGTCTTTAAGATGTTTATGATTAGGATTGTTTGTTAAACAGACCTTATAATGACATTTATCAGATCTTTGTATGTACATCACAGAGACGTCTCTGTTGTGTGTGTTTATATCTGGAAGACGTATTTATTACATCTGCATTACGTCTATTGGATATCTATTTTTAGACGTTAGATGTGTAGGAAATGTCTTTAAGATGTTTATGATCAGGAATGTTTATTAAATAGGCATTTCAATGACATTTATCAGATCTTTGTACACAGCACATCTTTGTACATACATCACAGAGACGTCTCTTTGTTGTGTGTTTACATCTGGAAGACATTATTTATTAAATCTACACCATGTCTATTAGATGTCTAATTTAGGATGTTAAATAGATGTATTGAAAATGTCTTTAAGATGATGATTGGGAATGATTGTTAAAAAACTTTCATTGGCATTTATCTGATCTTTGTACATACAGTTCATTACAGAGACATCTTATTGTTGTGTGCGTTTACGTCTGGAAGACGTATTTATTACATCTGTGGTATGTCTTCTGGATGTCTCCTCTTAGATGTTGAATAGATGAGTTGAAAATCTCTTTAAGATGTTTATGATTGTGATGTTTGTTAAATAGACATTTTAATGACATTTATCAGATCTTTGCACGTGCATAACAGAGACGTCTTTTTGTTGTGTGTGTTTACATCTGAAAGATTAATTACATCTGCATTATACATCTACTGGATGTCTATTTTAGACGTTAAATAGATGTGTTGAAAACATCTTTGAGATGTTTATGATTGCATCACATCACAGAGATGTCTATTTGTTGCGTGTTTACATCAGACATTATTTATTACATCTACATCATGTCTAATTTTAGATGTTAAATAGATGTGTTGATAATTTTTTAAGATGTTTATAATTGAGAATGTTTGTTAAATGGACCTTTTATAGCATTTATCAGATCTTTGTACATGCATCACAGAGACGTCTCTTTGTTTTGTGTGCTTACATCTGGAAGACATATTTAATACCTCCGTGTTACGCCTATTAGATGTCTCTTCTTAGATGTTAAATAGATGTGTATGTCTTTAAGATGTTTATAATTGAGAATGTTTGTTAAATAGACATTTTAATGGCATTTAACAGATCTTTGTACACAGCAGATGGTATCCAGATCAAACGATTATCTGCATTACGTCTATTAATACAATATAAGTTATTAATAATATTATTATAAGTATAATTTCAGATGTAAGATGTGTAGAAAATGTATTTAAGATGTTTATGATCGGGAATGTTGGCTAATTAAGCATTTCAATGACGTTTATCAGATCTTTGCACACAGCACATCTTTGTAAGTACATCACAGAGACGTCTCTTTGTTGTGTGCTTACATATGGAAGACGTTTTTATTACATCTGTGTTACGTCTATTGGATGTCTCATCTTTGATGTAACATAGATGTGTATAAAATGTCTTTAAGTTGTTTATAATTAAGAATATTTGCTATAGACCTTATAATGACATTCATCAGATCTTTGTACACAGCACATCTTTACATGTACATTACAGAGACGTCTCTTTGTTGTGTGTTGTGTATTTATTGTATTTGTGTTACGTCTATTAGATGTCTCATTTTAGATGTTAAATAGATGTGTTGAAAATGTCTTTAAGATGTTTATGATTGAGAATGTTTGTTAAATAGACATTTTAATGACATGTATCAGATGTTTGTCCAGACCAAACGATCTTCAAAATATGTCTTACAAATGTACGTGTGCTATCTGGGGTGTGTTTATTAATTCAAGAATGTATGATTTTTCTTTTTATGATTTCTTGAAATGTACCCCCATTTACTCAATCTGTATTCATCTGTACAAAGTTTCTCTTGTTTGTACATATGCATTACTCTCTGTGTTGACATAATTTTTGTATTATTTATACAGATGCATGTGCCATACTGTTACATCAGAGCTAATGGATGAAAAGGGAAATACAGTGTTGAAGTCTGCCTTCTGTCTGTTGATTTGTAGTGAATCTACCTATCTTTTGGCTGTGTTCACATTAACAATATCTTGCACACACACACACTTTCACACGAGTTTAATTTGGGGCTCAACTGTTCCTTTCCATGTGACTTTTGCATGCTGTTTTTTGACACATTTAAACTGCAGTTAGTACTGAATAATCCTTTTGATACAGTGCAAGAAACTTGTATTTTATTTTACTAACGACTTGTTAACTGTATGATGGCATTTAGTTGCAATTATACACTATTTCTCATAAGGTTGCATTTAATTTAGAATCTACGCCATTTGTATGTAAACCACCCCCTCTAGCGGCAGCTCTGGTTACAACCGCGTGACGTGCGGTTTGCGTAAGGGGCGTGGCTGCGCAGCCCCTCCCCCTCCAGTCTGGCTGGAAAAGAAAAAAAAACTTTTTGTATCGAAGGAATCAACAGCCGCCATCTTGCGCGAATGAGCGTCAGGATTTCGGGAGAGCATTATATTATTTTTTACGCAGCCGGCTCCATCGGAACCGACCCAAATAGCTTCCCTGCGACGGAAACGACAAGCTTCGGGCCAGATCGAGGATCTTTGTGGCGAAAATCAGCGTAATGGAGCCGTTTTTGTGGTCGGCTGGAAAACCCCCGTATATCTGATTTCCCCCTTCAGCGCGAGCGGCGCTCCTGTGCCACTCGCCTATATTCAAAAATAAATATTTCCTCCCGATTTTCATCTATCTTTCTGGACTTCGATGATTATTCGATTCGGGATGGACATGGAGCTTGAAGGTCTTTATTTATATTCGCAGAAAATCGCCTTTTTGAAGAGACCCACGCGAACCACTTGAAGGACCCAGGATTGCTGTTTTTTTCGCCCTCGTCGTTTATTTTTCGGTTTTAACGATGATATAATTTATTTTCGCGGGGTTTGGGGTGATCATTAAGGTTAATTATGCGGGTTTTGGGTGTTGGATTATCATGGGGTGAATGGCGGTGGCGGAGCGGGGCGCTGTTGAGTCGCGTTTGAGCCCCATCTGTTAATTATTGGCCCCTGATCGCTGAATAATAATAGAAAAACCCGAGGCTTGATTTGATTTATTTCGCTTTGTCCCCCCTCCCGGGCTCTTGGAAGACGCATTTATTGCTTTGACGTGGTTTTTTTGTGAAGCGAGAGAGCACGATGGCTGATAATCTACTGGATATGGGTCCCTCCGCCGCAAAGCGGCCCAAACTGAACTCACCTGCCCTATCCTCCTCCGACACTCCAGGTAAGATGCTCACCTGACACATCATCACATCTGTCAAATATGAAGCACATCAGAAAGCTCGATCAGATCTAGGCGAACCGCTTCGCTCATGTAGACCAGGTCACCTGTCCCAGAAAGCATTTACTCCAACTTCAAATGGAGCAGGTAAACCATTCACGTGGTCAGTAAGAGACAGCTCAGGCTAGGCTCATATACCTGTCCCACTAGACACCTTCGAGATCATGACCAGGTAAGTCCCTTCACATTATCACCACAGGGCTGATCAGATCCTTCATAAACCTCACCTGTTCTTCAGAAACTCACAGGTCCTGTTAGTCATTTAGCATATCGTGTTTTATTTTATCACCAGCGCTTATTAATATTATTTTTACGCCTAATGTTTCTGATATCTCCAATGCAGAACCGATTTACTACAATGACCACGATCAATAGACGATTAACAAATGTTGACTGAAATGTTTGTGACCTAAAGAGACTCATTTTCTCCTTTACGTCCTGATGAAACTTTTATAATGTTAAACTTTCACATTTCACTGTAAAATGAACAACTGTTACATCTGCGTGAAGTAAACACTGTATTATTTCATGTTGTGCAGTTGAATATTGTGTTTTCGTTTTATTTAGATGCCAATAAAATGGTGGCATTTATCAGCAAACGATGATAAAAACCGATTAAGATAAAAAAAAAATGTAAACAAAGGTAAAAAATATCGCATATTTATCTAACTAGGGTTAATTTTCTGATATAATAAGGATGAACTGGTTTTGTATTTTTCTAAATGTATACATGGGTAATTATTATATCATGGTATAAATATAAGCCACCAATATTTATTTATATTGCTCTTTAGTAATGATTTGTGACCTAAATGGTCAAAGTAATCTGGTACGTTACAATTTATATCATTACTATTATTTATGTTTGTATCTTTTAAAGTGTGTATTGTTGTTTGATTTTTATTTAGAGGCTTGACAATTTATATCAGTAATTACAATTAATATCAGTAAAATACTGCAAACGATCTTTGATTGCACTGTAGCTTTTTCCTGTCAGGCGGAGCCGGGTTTAACTGAGACACTTAAATGTCCCGTAATAATCCTCTGGAACTGGGCGCAAGTTAGATTTTCAGCTCTAAACCTGGTTTTACTGTCCTGCAGAAACAGCCTTGTTCATTTCAGCATGACTGCAGTTCCAGGCCTTTATTTACCAAGTGAGTTCACAACCAAGAAATTGTGCAAATATAAATGTATGCACAAGTAATGTGTGACCCGAATATCAAATTATATACATAAAGTGTATTTTTTAGACATGTAATAGTGAATTTTATGTCTTAAAATTTATTTCATTTGCCTGATGGTGACTTCTGAAGCTGTTCTGCTGCTGAATGTGCAGGAGATCCTGTGGAATGTAATGACACAGATTCAGATATTTATCATGATATGCTCTCTTGAGTGACGTCTTCTTGCAAGCTATTCATTTAGTTGTGACTATCGAGTATATCTGCTAGAGGTGTTTTTCTGGCAGGACTGCTAGCAGTCGATGCGATGACAATAGACACCAGTCTTGGAGAAAGCAGAAGTTTTCTTTTCATCCCCATTTTGCGTGCAAGTTTTCATGCACCATCTGTTGAGGTTTCAAACAGCTGAATAACACTGCTATGCTTGCTGCCTGAGACTTCAGTGCAGTGATTCGCAGTCTTCCTTTCAACTTAAAGGGCTTCTTCCACAGAGAAAGAAATTCTGTAGCTGTTTCTTTTTCTCGCTTTTTTTTTTTTTTTACTTCTTAGTTTACTGCTTTCACAACTTTTTCGCTGACTTTTTCTCTTTGAAGTCTCAAATTTGGCTGCTGCCACTGAATTAAAAAAAAACGTAGTTTTAGCTCACAATTTCTACCCTTTTGCCATTGTAAGTTGGACTGCACAATAGGGCTGTGCGATTTGGGTAAAAGATCTGATTGCGCTTTTTTTTGGTCAGATATTGCGATTAAAATTTGATTTACGATTTAATTTTGTCATCAAGCTTTACCTCAATCTGTGTGTCTGTGACTTAAACCAAAATATTCTCGTATTACAAAAGCTGTTTTTCTTTAATCGTAATTTGTCTATTATTGCTTCTGAAGCAGCAGACACCATAATCCCACTTGTCAGCGCTTTTCTGTTTTTTTATTTTGTTATTATTTTTTTTTACTGTGGCCGAAGTTTGGTTGCGCAATTCTGATTGGACAGAACGAAATTGTGCTCACTCAATTGGCTAGTAAGATTGTCACACACAGCAAAGAGTCATGCATTTGCTCTGAGTGGGGGGATGAGGCATGGGTGGATAAAAGATCCTGACGGTATGATAACCTTGGATAAAAATATCACGGTTCGACGGTATTGTAATTGTTGCTCTGAAATATATTCTTTTTAAATCTCTGGGTAAAATCAAAAACTTTTCCCCCCTTTGAACACAATATATTTTATTTTGAGAAGCATTAAAAATATTTTAGAGCAGTAAACATGTCAGACTAAAGCTGAACTGACATCATTTCAATTTACTCTGATCTTCTATGTGAAGCTACATTGACACAATCTGCATTGTAAAAGCGCTATACAAATAAAGGTGAATTGAATTGAATTGACTTGAACTGAATAATTCAAATGAATTATTGACTTCTGCGGTCTTATTTGGTTTCAGAAACACAGATTTCTTTACCATTTAAATGGCATCTTTGGATATTTTTTCTGCAGGAGATACTGTTGTCCTAAAAAACAAAAAAAAAAAAAGCGTAAAAAAATGCCATATATATATATATATATATATATATATTATAAATTGCAGCCCATTTCAAATTGCCATTCGGTTTCAATTAATCGCACAGCCCTTCTGTACAATATATAATTTTAGCATCGATATCACAATGTGTGCATCCGCAATTGTCACATCACAGGATATGCAATGTTGATTTGGCATTATATTTGATTATTTAGTCAATTATAATCTATGCAGGGTTTAATCATAACTGAGTAAATGTTTTATCATCTGGAATGCGTTTTTAAAGTGATAGTTTACTTAAATTAAACTGTACTTGCTATTTTCATTTTATTTCCCTCTAGTATCAAACACTTATGAGATTCTTTTTTGTTTTAAACACAAAAAGATGATATTTTACTAACTCAGACATTTGAAACGACTGAAGGATTAAAGCATGTGAAGACACGTTAGTTTATACTTCTACGTCAAGTGATCGCCATGATCCACGGCACATGCCTTGAGTGTAGCCGTGCATTTATACTTCTGTGCGCTGTTGGTGTTAAGCCTGGTTTATACTTCTGTGTCAAGTGACTGGCATAACCAACGGCGCATGCAACGCCTGTAGCTGTGCATTAATACTTCTGCGCGCTGTGTCTGTTGGTCTGCATTAACACTTCCGAAACGCTAGTTGGCAGTGAGGTGTAAATGTTCCTCTGTGTCGAGTTTCTTCTCTGCTGTTTTGCTTTTCCTGAACACTTCCGGGATGTACAAGTGGCTCAAACTCGCTCATTTTGAGGCAGGAACCGGCGGACGTGCAACAACTTTAACTATGAGGTAAACGCAGAACAAAACTTTCCATCCGGAGCTCCTTCACGGGACTTCACACTTGTAAACAATCGCTCCATCAGGCTCGCGCCATTCGCGCGGCTCTCGGTCCCGCCCAGACTCGTCAGCGCTACCAAGCCGACCAATCACAGAGCTTGCGCTACGTATCGTTGCGACGTGTAGTTTCCTTTTTTTTGTGAGGTGCACGTCAGCGATGGCCACGGCGAAGGGCTATGCGTCAGTTTGACGCAAAAGTATAAATCAGCCTTTACTTTGCAATGACACATCAGAAACTCTAGCTGGCAGTAGGTTGTTTTGTTCCTCTATCGAGTTTCTTTGCATTTTTTTTCTTAATGCACAAGTAGCTAAAACTCGCTCATTTAGAGGCGGTAAGCGGTGGATGTGCAACAGCTTTAATCATAAGGGAAGCACAAAACATAAACACTCGTTCCATCAGGCTCATGGCCCCCAGCACCGCCAATACTTGACACAGCTACCAAGCCCACCAATCACAGAGCTTGCGCTATGAAGTGTTAATCAGCCTTTATTGTGTGGATGTTTTAAAACATCCAGCCACAAGATAATGTTTGTCACTTTTATAAAGATCACATTAAATAAAATAAAGATTATGCATTGTTGAATATTCATTATCTGTACCTGAATACAAGTGTCAAGTCCTGTGAAGGAGTTCCAGATGGAAACTTGTTTTGTTTAGCTTATGATTAAAGTTGTTGCACGTTCGCTGGTTCCTGCCTCTGAATAAGTGAGTTTTAGCTACTTGTACATTAAGGTTGCGTTTGGAAAAAAACAAAACACCAGCGTAGAAACTCGACACAGAGGAACATTTAAATCTACTGCCAGATAGCGTTTTGTAAGTGTTATTGCTGAGCAGCACAAACAGCAGACAAAAGTATAAATGCAGGACTACGCGAAATGCAGTCGGTCACTGTGGGTCACGACGATCACTCGACGTAGAAGTTTAAACCAAATTTTACACGTTTACCTGCTTGGAAATGGGCCTGCACCCAATCGTTCTCTTTCACCAAAAATCAGCAAGCAGATCAGTCTTTTGACCTCTATAGTAGCTAGTAACTTCTTTTCCAAAACTGTTTTTGACAAGCTGTTTAGCATTTCATTTTAAGAGAATCTAGTCCACTGTCTCATATCCAGCTAGTACTATGGCTTCATATGGCAAATCCTAATCCTACTTTTGTTTTCGTGATGGTTCAGGATGAATACATGTACTGTTTCACCCCTTCAAAACATCCATTTCCCACTTACCTTTAAGTGCGATCTTAAACGCAGCTGATTGGCTATTTTGTTAACGTGCTCAACATAAATGACTGATTGGTCGTGAAGATCATCTGTTTACTACTCTTCACTGTTGTTCACTAAGTGCAAACACAGATACACGGACACTGGAGCATTTCAAAGCCACGTCG